TTTGTCCCAGTTGTGACAACTTCCATTTTCAGCCCTGGCAATGTATACACAGGCATATATGTGATCACCTGATTCATTTGTATAGTTGGCTATTGTATACCAAGCTATCCAGGCATTTCTTTTCAGATATACCTCTTCTAGCTTTAATAGCAAGTTCTCTATGGTCATAATTTTGGCCGGCAATGCAAGCAGTTTCCAAAAACTACTTGCTAGGCTAAGGGCTAAATATTTTTGCTCTTCGAAAAAAAGTATTATGACGCTTATTCAGAAAGTTCTTGAACATGAAAAAAAACAAAAAAGAAATAAGTAATTTTTTTCACTAAAAACACTAAAAATAGTATTTTATAATATAAGAGCGACCATACTATATCAATGATAATTTAGATTAGTTAATTAAAATTCTTTTGGTTTAAAATCAGTCTAAATTGGGTGCATGGGATGAACAGAATTTATCCCCATTCTGATCTACTAGTACTAGCTGCTAGGACAGTATTCACAGAATGATAGTGAGACCTGACCATGGCTCAGCAGGAAAGTTGACTCAGACTGACAAGTGACATCTGCTAATGACATTGAGGGGTGAAGAATGGGGTAGGGAGTGACAGCACAGAGCTGCACATCTGCACACTTCAGTCACAAGCCTTGCAGCGCTTGGAACACACCATCTCCTCAAACTTGCAGCTCTGCCTCCCCAACCCCCACTAACAGCTGATGACTTTGCTTCCTATTGCACTGAAAAAATTGGAGCAAAGAGAGGAGAGAGTCCTCAGGCTCTGACCACATATCCCACGATCTACCCCATCTAGCAACTTACCTGCATCTGTGTCCACATAATCTTCCTTCTTTTTTATCACTATTAATGAGCCATCTATTCTCCTAGAAAAGACTATCTCTTCCACTTGTGCAATTGATTTCATCTCCTCTTGTACACTAAAACACTGGTCCCGCCATCCTTCCCCACTCTCCTGAATTATCAGTTTCCACCTATCTACTGGATACTTCCCATCACCAAACATGCTTCTAACTTCCCAGTCTTAAAAACGCTGCTTGACTCCACTTTTATAGCTACTACCCCAGTTTAGCAAATAACAAAACTCCTCCAAAGAGTCATGTATATGTTTTCTTTCTAATTTATTTCCTCCCATTATCTTTTGGACAAATTTCCTCTTCCCATTATCTTTTTCGCCCCTCTTTACAGACAGTAAAAATCACTCTTTTTATTGTAAAATTCTATTAATTTTGACAA